CCCTTATAGCACTTTTTAGACATGACAGCGCCAGCGCTTCTTCACCAACACAATCTGACAAGATGATTTTAAAATTTTTCTTCAATTATAAAACAACAACAGAATATGAACAACAACTATCAGACAGTAGATGAGCTGACTGATTAAACCGTCTAGTCGACACAAAAAAAAGCTAACTTATTAACAAAAACAGCCGTGAATAGCTTTGAATGAATTTACAATGCTCTAACGGAACAAAACTCATAGACAACTTTGAGTGAGAAATGGTTGAAGCGCAACAAAAAAAACCCAAAAATATCCTCAGTTAAGTTAGCACTTTCACCAAAGTGTTAATACTTTTTAACGGTATCTCGATATTTCATAACATTTTCAGAACATAAATAAATAACAAATCCAGGAGATCACGACAATCAAGATCAAACTGAGAATAAATTCAATCACAATTTGGGAACTTCCTCGAGTTTTTCAAAATCCATGCTCTCAAACATGATATCAGCTTCTTGCTGTTGTTCTTTCTCCTTCTCCTCTTTCGCTTTAGCTTCCTCCTTCTTCCTTTCGGCTTCAGAAATTTCAGGCTCTTCTTCTTCTACGGGCTGCGGGAGATTTATCTACATAGAGGAAGATATAGAAGTAAATCGTGATGTGTAACATTTTTCTACCGCTACAGACCTGCTTCTGTTTTTTGTAGAATTCCATTGCTCGCTCATAATTAGCACGCATTGTCTCCATATTGCTCATGTAGAAGTCATGTACGAACGTTGACATATGGACAGTGTTTTCAATCGAAATCGGCTCACCCTCAGCACGTTCCCCACACTGGAAAATTATCATTACATCCTGTTGATTAGCGAAAATGTGAACATCAAACTAGGGTAAAAAGTGTTGAAAAAACAAAGTGATACTTACTTTTCTTTGCGTAGGGTAAGGTTCGCTTGGAATGATAAGAAGATGAGGAGGTCGCTGACACAACTGAAACTCAAACTCAATGAAATCTAGTAAATTAAAGCAAAGGCTACGAACACTGTCATTACAAGTTGCACTTAACCAAAAAAACATTAGATTCACGAAATTTCAAGTCAAGTGTTGATCTACTCACGATATTGAAAGCGGGCGTAAGTTCGAAGCAATTCCGGAATAGGCTAGCTCGGCACAGAACGTAAAGGCCTAGACGTGCTCGAGAAAGTGCCACTACCAATCGTCGAACATCCCTGCAAAAAAAAATGTAGGAACTTTCTAGCGGAAAAAACCCAAAGACATAAGAAAACAAGGCATATTCTGCACATGCAAATGAAAATGCAGAGCATGAAACCAAAAAGATACAGAGAAAGATTGGACTATTAAAAACTACCTGATATGCCCGATATTGAAGGTTCGAACAAGAGAAAGAATGATGTAATCGTTCTGTTGGCCTTGGTACTTGTCAACGGTTGAGATCTG